ATAATAGTGAACTGTTCTGACCCCCTTCCTCCATCCAGTAACGAAAGCCGAGACAAGCTTAACTGGAATGTACTTTAATTACACTCAGCTGGTGGTCATTAGGCTCCTCCCCAGACTATAAAAAAGACTGCTTGTGACACGCCCCTCTTGCAGAAGTCAACACATTGACTAAAGAGAACGCAACTAACTTGGCAGGCTGGATTGCTATCAAGGTTTGTCTGAATTTCTGCCAAGGTCCTTATCTGTTTGTTTGCTTGGCTTTCAGCCACCGAAATTTTGGCTTCTTGCTAATTAAAGTACATTCCAGTTAAGCTTGTCTCGGCTTTCGTTACTGGATGGAGGAAGGGGGTCAGAACAGTTCACTATTATCCAATTTAGCTCAGCAACAAGCATTGGTAATGATTTACAACTGTTAATTCCTTAATAAAAAGAAAATACATTTTTTTAAAAAGTCCCCAAACTTGTATTTAAAATTTCCTTTGCTAAAGGTTGTTGAAAATTCATCTGGTACTGTAAAATCCAGAGGTCATAATAGTCAAAAAGCAACGTATGTGAATCCATGGTTCCTTTTAAGATGCCATCTGTGGCTCCATCTGCCAGAGCTCTAACCCAGGACTGTCAAACTCATTGCCCATAAGCCGGATGGCTCACAGGGTGACCATGCCCACGTGTGGGTTTAGCAAAGGGGGGAAAAATCATATGATGCCCCCAATGATGCAAGTCTAACCCCACCAAAGACTGCTGTCTCCTCAAAAGGAGTAGCTGCCTGGAGCACTTGTGGGTGATGGCAAGTCTTATCTTGTCCTGAAAGGAATGACAAAGAGATAATCTAATTGCAAGCACTTTATTCCACCACAGTTTCAGTCTTCGCTTTTAATGAAGCCATCTTCATCATTTCTTCCCTGGAAGTTCTTTGTTCTTTCTTTTTAAGGGTTTTCCCTTTATGTCATGTCAAGGCCCCGTGTTTTTATTGGAGCTGATGATATATTTTAAGATGTATGCTGTTTGATAAGCCTGCTAGGACATCACTTTGGCAGAGTTCCAAACTATATTAATAGCATAAACAAACATTTTTTCAGGAAGCAGATCACAGCAATTCCTTTCTGTGATTCACACAGCTCAACCAAGACAAGCATTGGGTCATCAAACATTTTTACCATCAATCCTAACTCCCCAATTATCCTACAGACCTTTCCAGAAAAGCAGTGACGAATTTCTCCTTTCTGGTGTCAACATGTTTCACGAAGCATCCCCAGCTTTTTAACAAATATGTCTTTCACTTTTAAAATATTTATTTGTTAAAAAGTGTGAAATTGCAGAACTATAGTGGGTTGGTTTGTGTAAAATTGTGTAAAACTAACAGCAGAGGAGAAGTTCCATTTGAAAGACACTTGTTAGGAGTAAGCTTTAAAAAAAACATTTGTAGAGTTCATTAAATTAATATTAATTAACTTGTTTTTATCCCATTAAGCCACACTAAGGGATTTAAAGTGTTATTTTAATTTTAAATACATTTTTTTTTCATATTTTAATGATATTTAGCACACACCACTTATAATGGGCTATGGAATGCAATGATCTCATACCTAATGTATAATTTCTAATTGGCAGGAATCTTTTAAGGCACTATAGGGCAGTGGAGAAAATGGTGCATAACACAGAAGAAAGCAATGTGCGACTATAAACAGTTATGGGAGAACATGAAAAGGTATGATTAAAGGATTTTTCAAAATCAGTTTCTACTTTCATGTTTCTGTTTTTCAAATCAAAATGTAAATCAGGAATTCGTTCACCTCAGCTTCAATACAATTTTAAGCTTCTCAATTTAGCCAGCTGCACAAAGTGTAGATGATGATAATAGAGATAGAGATGATAGAGATAGATAATAACAGTGCCTAATGAAATGTATGAAAAATGTTTCTGTGAGAGAGTGGGGAGACAGACAGAGAGAGAGACAGACAGACATCAACAAAGATGGTTATTAAGTTAT